CACAAACTCCAGGAGAACCTATCTGATGTTCGGTAGGACGTCATCCTCACTCTAAATAAGAAGCTATTAGTGACTATTAGAGATATGCATGAGAAGCTTTTCTCATAGTCTATATCCTGACTAACGATGAAAGACTTCTAACTGATTAATTGCTATGAAGTCCTAATCTATGTGCATCATGCAGACTTTAATTAGCTCTGAATATCCTGGAAAAGAAGTTCAGGTCCTTGATTTATAGTTACTGAGATACTGCACGTTCATGGTCTTTTTTTTTAAGTCAATATCGTGATTATCTTCAAGCACATGGGAAAAATTCGTTTTCAAATTTCGACTTGAAATTTTACACAGAGACAGATCTTAATCAGTGTAGTATATTATGAAAGTGTCTGGTCTTTTGATATACTTCTTTTCTAAAATAAGAACATCAAATTTATCGATGTATATGAACGGTGTAAAAGACAAGCTTTTATCATAGCTACAAACATAAGATAGGAACAATGAAAATATCTAAAAATTTCAAAGTCAACTATTTTCTGTGATGCTAGTCTCGATGGACAGTTTCAAGTCGAAATTTGAAAATGATGTTTTCTTGTGTTCCTAAGAAAGATTGGCATGTACTAAAAAGATATCATAAAAATACACTATTTTGGTAGCAACAAACTAAAAGTCCAAACTCTTTTTAATGTATTCATAGTTGATTAAGATCTATATCAAGCATATAGCCTCGAATCAAAAGTGACTAATTAGTTGGATAATTCCCTCATGAGAAAAATTGCCTAATCATTACCTTACCAACAATGGAATCGGTCTAACACCCAGTTAGACAGTGAACTAACGAGGTGTTACATGATTACATCTATAGATAGTGATATTTGCCATGATCGATTTTTAACATATTTACATTAGATATCGTTTATGAGATACTAAGAGCAAAAAAATGAATAAGATAAACCGAAACCGGTTCTATCTCTGTACTCTACCGTACTATAGAAACCACTACTTATATTGTATCCTACCCTACAGGGTAAAGTAGCTCTGTATATCTCTTGTGATCATCACAAAAGAATGTGATATTGTTTAGTATTTATCTGATATAGTCTTTACAATCATAACTTTCATAACTTATACACACAAAACAAGATATTCAATATTATTGTAAGATTTCTCATATTGATTTTTAGATTTTATTTAATAATAGAATATATTATACCTAAATTTTTTGCATGAGCTTTATCTTTTGCTTGTGCTTCTTCTCTATGTTCATTACCAATTTCTAATGTTATATGTGTAAACATAGGTTTTTTTGTCATTATTTCTTTAATATCTGATTCACTGCGTGTTAATACATTATATGTTAAACTTTTTTCAAGCATTTGATATGGTGTTGGCTTTCCAAGTGTAATACAAACATCATAAATATTTGCATCTGATATACTATATTCATCAAGTAATGAACTACTAACTTGTTCTTGTTCATTTAAATCATTATTATTATTAGTATTATTATTATGATTATTATTTACACTTGAAGATGATTCATCCTCGTCAATACAACCTTCTTCATCCATAGATTTATCTTCTATAATTGATTCTTTACTTCCTATTTGTTGTTGTTGCTGTTGTTGTTGTTGTTGTTGTTGTTCTTGTAATTTTTTATATTGTGGTATAAGAATAATTAATGATTCTTCTGTTGCATTTAATTTAGCTGTACGTTTATTTCTACCAATACCTGTACCATAAACATTATCACCAACAAGTACACGACAGCCAAATGGTGAATTTGATACATCTGTTGTAAACCAATCATAACGAACAGATAATTTTAAACGTTTAAGTGCATATTCTTGTAAAAGTGCAATTGGACTTTTACTTGGATATAAATCAATAGTTACTTTTTTATTATTTAAATTTGATGATTCTGATGCTGATTTTGTTATTGGTTTAATTGATGGTTTTGTTGTTTTAACTGTAGCTGATACAACAACAGATTGATCATTTGATGATAATGGTTGAAGTTCAATAATTTGTGTATCAGCTGGTATATTCATTTCACGACGTTTCATTTGTGCTTGACGAATATATTTCCATTTATCACTAAGTGCAGCAAAAAATTTAAATTCACGTTGTTCAAATGCAAATCGACGTTGACAATACGAACGTAATTCATCGGATGATAATGTACTATAACGAAGTGTATCATCTAATGTTGAATTAGTTAAAATTTGTAATGATACAGGTAATTGTTGTGGTTTTGTTGGACGTGTTGATGAGATTTCTGTTGGAATATTATTTATTGGTTCGGATATTATTCGTGTTGATGATGAGGATGGAGATTCTTCAAGATTTGTCATTGTTGATGCATGAGGAGAAGATATTTCACCTTCTTCAACATCATCTTCATCACTATGTTTTCGTTTTCTACTTGATGTTGAATTTGAATTATCTTGCTGTTCTTGTTTAAATGGACATTTTGATTCATCATTGATAGATGATAAGTCTTCATTTTCATCGAGTTCTTGTTGTAATCGTTTCATATATAAACAAGGTATTGATGTAACCGGTATTAAATGATGACGAACACTTACAGAACCAAGAAAATATGGACGTGATAATGTTACAACACGTGTTTGTTTATGAAAATATATTGGAAATCCACTTGTATGAAATACTTCACACCATCCATCTGGTAGACTATGTTTATGTTTATCTTTCCAATAACCTTTAACTGTCCATCGATGATAAATTTTTGGTTGTCCTGTTGATGATTGTTGAGTTTGAGATGTATCCGTAGATTTATCCATGAGAGTTTCGTCCATGGAATCTTCTAAATCGTCACCTTCCATTCTACAATAAAAAGAAAAAAAAATTTATGACAAATGAATCAATTTCATTGCACAAGTTTTCTTGTTTTTTATAAATCAAAAAAAAACAATTTTAATGAAAAATACAAAAAAAGAGGAAATTTTTTATTTTTTGTTGTTTCCACAATTGCCCATACAAGCACTCGTTGTTTTTGTTTCACATTCGGGATTTGTCATTGTTTTTTGTTGCTTTTTTTCCCATTCATCAGGTGTATAAGTCTTTTGGGTTAATGCATGAATTTCAGTCATTTCATTTTTTAATAAATCATTTACCAATCTATAAACATAAAGAATAAGAAAAAAAAATGATTGAATTGTAAAATATTTTAAAATTTACATACCGTTGTCTTGCAAGTAATGGTTTACCTTCGAATTTTTTTGAGACAATTGTTGTGTCAAATTTTAAACCACAACCACCTGAAAAATCTTCAACGTGCTAAATATAGAGATAATAATAGATTTTTAGTTTGATATGAATTAAATAAGTATACGAAGAACAAATAAAGATATTAAATTTATTAATAAACATCTAAGCATTATGCAAAAAAGATTCGACAAGATAAAGAAACTAATAAATATTACGAGTAGTTACTCAGGTTACATAGCCTTTGCTTGAAAAAGCAAAGACACACAATACGTGATATAATAATCACGAGTTTCGGAAGGACCAACCCGATGTTCAGATGAATGTCTCTCACTTGGTCCTCATGCTAGATCAAATATTCTTTTAGAAAATTGAGAGCAATGAGATGTTTACTTAAATAAGATAAAGAATACGCTTTCTCATGTACAATATACCGGTTTTATAAGCCTATCGAGTGTCTGTTTATATGAACGATTTAGATATTCAGTATCGATGATCGATCTTTCTAAATTCTAATTGCGAAATAATTTGGTTCTCATTCTAATTCTTTACACTTCAATATAAGTATATACGAGAGTTGGAATCGATATACAAACTATTTTATATCAGTGACTCCTGTAGAGTGAGAATGGAGGACAGCGGTCTTTCCAGCATAAGTTTGACCATCTCGGAATTTCAAATTGCCTCTTCGAAAGGAAAAATTTTAGATAAAACACTGTTTTAGATGGGTGACAACTGACAGGTTTGTTCGATTATCTTCCTTTTTATACTCACGTTTTTACAAGTTTCCAAGATGGAATATTATATTATAGTAGTTTATATCTGTTAGGTTTCTCAAAGATGAATATGTAGTGATTCTCTGTCTAGCACGAAAAAAGAAGCCATTTCATTCGATAACTGATTGCTAAATTCCAAATCATGAAAATTTTCAACTCAGATTTCAGCGTACCAAATTAACTTCGGCTTACAATTTGAGGAACCTAAATTGATTTCTTCTCTGATATACACATTCATATCTCTTTTTCTATAGATACATTATTTATGGAAAGCTAGCCGTTGAGTAATCGCCTATTATGAGTAATGCAGCATAATATTATAATCAGTATCATAGAATCGCAGTATTAATTCATCGAAATTTTTCCAGTAACATTGTTCGGATTAGTTTCAAATTAGATCAACTTCCAAGCAAATACTCTCATGATTATCTGATCGGTCATACTTAAAACATGAGAAACAAGTATATAGTACCAAATGTTTTAACGCTCTTTTTCAAGTAATTGTCCTCTATGTTTTATTTATCAGCATACTTCAAATTCTTTTTTTTTTGTATCAAATACTAAAAACAATATTAACTTCTTTTGAACAAAGTAATTTACGTTTTTGCTTACCAAATAAATTGGTTCGAATTCATCTCGTAATTTCTTTTCAATACTATCTTTATTAATCTCCATTATATCTGAAATGTATAAATTAAAATTCATTGCAAAAATTTCTTATGTATTTTAAAAAAAAATGAATAGTAGAGATATAAAAAAAATGCATCGATATATGTTAATCTTTTATCACAAAATTCAACAGAAACACTCAGATTAATAACTACAACAGAATATATGCTGAAGTATTGCGTTATTAATACATCATTTAGATCCGTTTTTACATTTGTTAAAAAAAAAAAAAGAAAAACAATAAATCGAAAAAACATTTTTTAAAAAAGAAATCTTCTATGATAAATTTTATTATAAACGAACCACGCCAGAAATTCGTTTATAATCAATTTACCATAATTCACCGTCGGTATCTTTTTCTGGTACTTCAATTATTCTTGGTTTATCAATAATTTTTGCTGTTCGATCACCTTTTTCAACTACACCAATAATCCATGCTTGATAACCTTCTTGTTCTTGAATATCTTTACAATAAGCAGCTGCTTGGTCATGTGGTAAAACAACAAGTAAACCACCTGATGTTTCAGCACTTTTACCTTGTAACAAACCAAATCCATTATTAAGAGTTTTACTTATTGTTGCCATTTTAGCTATAATTGGTAAATTATGTATAACAAATGACACTTCATTTTTTTGATATTTAACTAAATTTTCAGCATGACCCAATAGACCAAAACCAGTTACATCCGTACATGCATGAGCATTATATTTATGCATAAGTATTCCACCTTAAATAGAATTATTTTATTACAAAATTAACTGACAACTCATTAAAAATTATCGTATTTTGCATTTCATATTTTGATCTCTAAATACGGTTTATTAAAAAATGTACTATAAGATACAAAATAAAAAACCTTGTTTTAATTGTGTACATTTTGTTTTCAAAATAAGTGAAATTCTATACGAACAATATCAGTTATTGGCTACATGATGAATTTTTTTCTTTTTTTTTTGTATTTCATCAACGAATTATACATTTTAATTTTATCCTACTGCATAGTATTGAACACATAATAATCTAGAACATTGAAATCAAGAGGAAAGATAGAATTGGTACTTGATCGTCATAACACCAGACTGGCTCGATCTCTGATCTATGTCATGAATTTTAAATCAAACTGTCATTATAGAGACACATCGGTTAATCATCGAACCTGACAGAAATGATATAGTTAGATGAATAGGTATTCGACTAAAATTAAATCCATTCATTTAACAATTAATCTCAGAAATAAGTCGAAAAACTCTCATAATTAAATCATTTTTATCCATAACAAAATTGTGTGCTCTACTGAAATTAAAATATGCAAATATGATGAACATAGTGACGACATCTAATTCAATTTGCTTTTATACTGTTATTCTTTGAGTAGAAAGTTGCATATTGAACATTTTCAAAGAACACTTCGAATTTCTTAGACTAATGACATGCGTTAGTCATTAACGTGAGTTCATTCTTTATTAGCGAAAGTTCTTGTATATTAACCCGGTTAGTAGAGTTCAGCGGTTCTAAAAAATAGAACTATTAAAGGTATCTCTATCTTTTTGTTGATTTCTGATTCTCAACGAGAGTACAACAAATTCTCATGAAATTTTTACTACAAGTAGATCAACTGAAATGTGGAGAGATACCTCCGAAAAAATTTTTAAACAAAGCTTTACAGGTTTTTCGTAGGATTACATTCGGTCCTTCGTCAAACTTTTTCCGATCGAGCTAAAAATTGTATATCTGTCATTTTCCTGAAAAAACTGCGAAAACCTTGTTTAAAATTGTTTCCCTTGAACATATGTCTCTTCATCTTAGATACTCTATCTATGTTAAAAATCTCATGCGGATCTATTGTGCCCTCTTCGAGAATTAAAAATGGAAAAAAACTGAACCTCCCAAAATCTTCATTTTTTTATTCTTGAGATTAAACATTTCAGTATATATGAAATTGTTTTTCGTAGATACTGAAATATTTAGTGTCTTTAATCTTAAAATTTTCTCTTAAAATAGAGTTCAAATTATCGTATCTATATCACAATATAATAATTTCTGTTTCATGTTCGGAACTGTCGAACTATTTCTTCACATAATGTCAATGATTCCTGACATGATGTTATCTTGTTGATAGATGAAATCATTGTCTCGGACTATTTTTAGATGCCTCTAACCACACCATAATTCTTTTTTCTTTTTGTATACTTAGCCTTTTGCTTAATATATCCATGTTCGTCTGTTTCTTGTCAACATATTCGAATGACAAGTGTTTTTCATCAATGAAAAGAATTATCTTTTATTGATGTGATAAAAAAAATATGTTTGCAGTATAGAATTTCGCTTATATTAATAGCAAAAGTTACACAATAAAAATAAGCTTTACTTTGAAAATGGTACAGTGTTTCAAGCTGCATCTTGCAAGCACATTCTGCTTTTTTGAAACATATTTAGTGATTGCAATATGAAATGTAGAATGCGACCATTTACAACGAGTCACTCAGTATACCAATTTTATTTAATCGAGCCATCGAGTTCATAGCACGTTGATATGCTTTTCGAACATCATCTTCAGTAACTACAGATTTAATACGATTCCAACGATCTGGATTTTCAATCCATTGATGAGCATTAACAGCAACCTTAATATAAATAAAGACAACCTTCTTCTTTTTTTTTTTTATTAAAATTAAAAAATCAAAACGAACTTGTGTTCCTAATGGCTTTGTTAATACTAATACATCACCGACAACTGCATTCTCTGGAATGATTATTTCATTTTGCATACATACAGAAGTGGCAACACCACCGACAATTAACCATGGGTTAACAACAGTTTGACCACCTTGGACGGATGTACCTGCTTCTTGAGCACAATCCTATTTCACAAAAGTATACATGAAATTTTTTGTTTTGTCTTAAAAATTTTCTTACTTTAAATCCCTCAAGAATCAATGGCATAATTGTATCACGTTCTTTTTCAGTCATTTTATTACTTGTACTTAATAACATTAACATATTATCTACATCAATAACACCCATTGCATAAATATCACTTAATACATTAGCACATGCAATTTTTCCCTTAATTAATTAAAATAAAATAGATAAATAAAATATTCATATTGAATATTTACCATCACATATGGATCATCAACAAGTGGATAAAAAAAATCTGTGGATTGTACGAGAAAAAGTCCTCCATGGCGTAATGGAAGAACACAAGAATCAAGGCCAATTCCTATTTAAGAAAAAAAAACTCCATTTTGAAATACAGTTCTTTCTATTAATTATTGAAATTAACATACCAACCACCGGCGATGTTTTAGATTCTGGCGTGAGTGCCGAATGATTTGTTGAATTTTGCCCGTCACCGTCACTTCTTTTTGTCTCAATTGATTGAAATCCCTCGAGCAGACGGTGCAATACATCTCGAGGGACTTTACATCCTCATCCTTTAAGATCGGATAATTTCGTTAGACGAAAATCAGCCGATAAATTATAATCCAATGGCTCAAAAGATTTTCTAAGCATTTTTAATCTACAAGATCAAAAAAAAGAAAAGAAACGTAGAACATTTAATCTGTACATATAAAAAAAACGAGAGCAAAAAAAAAGCAGATAAACGACTGATCTTGATCATTGACACAAAAACGAAAACAATGCATTACAATACAACAGTTGGATTCATTATATTTAAAAGAAAAGTTGCCGAGCATCTGCCGGACTTTGTTCTAAAAGAAAAAAAACAAAATATATCATTAAAAAAAAGACAATCTTAAATTCAAAAACTAACCTAATGGACAATATGGACACTTAAGTTTATTTTGTATAGATAATTTATTTAATGCATCTTTAGATATAACATGACCACAAACAAGTTTCATTGGTGGATTTTGATCTGTTGTTTGTTGTCGAAGAATCGGACAAGCAAATACACTATGATATCGATGTTCTTGACCAACATCGACTTCAATTGGTAATTCATCTTTGGATAATATATGGCATACTTGAGTATTTTGCATAGCATTTACAATGCTAAAATAGATATTCAGATTTTTATCATATGATTAGAATATTTATTCATATATATGATAAGTTTGAGCTGATGAGACAATCAAACGAATTAATATCTGCCATTTTAAGAATTTCTCTCAAGAGAAAAATACTTCTACTGATTAATCACTTTCGAGTCGGAACTATGTGCATTATTTAGATTCTAATAGTTTACAAATATCTTGAAAGAAATTCGGATCCTTGGTATTATTAAAGTCGATCTCATGATCCCTCTGAGAAACATTACGGAAACTAATTTTCGAATTTCGACTTGAAACTTTGCACAAACAAAAGTCTTCATAAGAATATCGAAGCAGCCGATGTCTAAGGATAGAAACAGTGAAAAGATCTTAAACTATCACAATAAACTAATCCTTTTCAGGATAATCTACATGATGCATACAGTTCCGGTTCAAAAGCGATTATTCAGTCGAAGGACTTTTCTTGTGAGGCCTACAAGGATGGTTGTCTCACTAAGATCAGCGAAATTTTAAACGAGCCCGTCTCCATATACTTTTAAAGTCAATATCAGAGATGAGCAAGTCACCTATTCTTTTCACTTAAGTCAAGTCAAGTCAAGTCATCAATTTGAGATACGCCATTGCAAGTCCAGTCAAGTCAAGTCTCAAGTCATTGACTTGAATGTTTTTTTAAATTTCATAATTTAGTTATGTGTCAATTTATTGAAAAAAATTTTACATAAGTCTCTGGTACATTGACCCGATCAATTTGATTCATAAGTTTTTATATTTACATAAAATTTATCTCGTATTGTTTTTGGAATACTACCAGTAGTTTGGGATATTGTTTCAGTTGAATCAGTCAATGTACAGAAAAGTACTGGAACAGTTGATAATACACACATCTGGAAAATCATGTGAAATATGACTATCAACTTGTCAAATTAAATGATTCATATTCAGTTGTAATACAAGTTGTAATTGATCTAACCAGTTTAATACAATAGGTCACGTATAATGCACACTCAGCCGTATAGTTGCTTATATACTTGCGAATGTCGATGTCAGACAGTGTCTTTTGTAAGACCAAACAAACTAGACGAATAAAACAATGAATTAAGAATTCCTTAATTCATTGTTTTATTCGTCTAGTCTGTTTGGGACCTTATTTTATACGCACGGGTCAAATATAACCTGACAAGAATCTAAAATGCATTGAATTTGCAAAGAATATCTGACTTGACTTGTATTTTTTGTCCAGTCACAAGTCAAGTCAAGTCAAGCAAGTCAAAAATGACTTGACTTAAGTCATTTTTGACTTGACTTGCCCATCTCTGGTCAATATATGATCGTTTTACTGAGTTTTGGCATATTGCTATTTCTAAAACTTTCAGGACGTTTCAAATGTCATTTCAGTTCATGTTAGGCAAAATTTCATGTCGAAAATTCATTCAAACAATCATAACTCGAGTTCACAAGACCATGACAACAAATCCTGTTAGACTTTTGCAAGTGGCACCGAAATGTCCTTATAGACTCAATATAAATTCAAACAGCAGGTATCAGTTCGAATGATCTCTTCGCGAGATTAGAGATATTATGCTATCGTGACAGATTATATCAATACCTACGCCTACACTACTATCGCTAAATCATTAGATAAAGTCATTATCACATAAAAACAATTATTGAGTAATTGTTCGTATGTAGCTTTCTTTAAAAGTTAAATTTCATACAATTTATATAAAACAAATTATTAGAAGTCTCAAAATTCACTACTAATCAATATTCGTCGATTGGAAAACTCTGTGTTCTGTTGATTCATCTCTACTATGGCAAATACCTTATATATTATTTCTTCTAATTACTCATTTCAAAAGAATTCATTCACAAAAGAAAACTTCAAGTTAACTTCTGAAATATAAGAATACTGATATTCTTAATATAAACTATTAGTTTATATTATGCTTTTTTGTTTTTTTTTCTCCATGAATATTTACCTCATAAGAGCAGGTAATGCTTGAAAACCAATTTTCATAACAACATAAAGTGGACTATCTTGTGAAAGTCCAACTTGTTGAAATGCTTGTTGCATAAATAATTCTGATAATTGTAACCAAAGATGTGGTTCAAGTAAATATTTATATGGTGATTTAGTTAAATCTCGTTGAGCAAATATTAATGCACCCATTAATTCATTAACAGCTTGTTCACATCGACCATTTAAAATTGAATATTGTCTTAAATTTGACATATAAATTTTTGCTTCATCAAAATTTCCCATTTGTAATAATTGTATAAAACGCATTTTATGTAAATGAAATTCTAATAAACTTCCTGTTTGATTTAATTCATTTTTATTTCTTTGACACCAATCAAGAGCTGGTAAAAGATTTTTTTCACGTAAATTTTCTAAAATCATATTTATTTCTTCTAAAAAATTTTTTTCAACATTAAATAAATCATTATCTTTTAAATTTGTTTCTTCAATTAATTGTTGTGCTATTGACATACGTCCTTGTCGATATAAATCTTCACATATAATCATATAAATTAATTTTAATTTTTCAGGTTTATCAAATAATTCAAATATAGGTACATTACCAAAATCTGATTGAAAACATTTATCAATTGTTTTACCTATTTTTGATATTGAACCATGTAAATCTTTATGTTTATCACTATATTGTTTAGCAAATGGTTTTATTGTTTCACGAATATTTGTTTTTATTATTTGATCATCAGTTGAATTTGAAATCATTATTTGAATTTGTTCAATAACATTATCAATATTATTTTCAATATTATTATAATATTCTTGAACTGATTCAATAGCTTTATCAACGTCTTTTTCAACAATATTTAACATATTATTTGTCATCGACATTAGTATTTTTATACAAAATCGTGTATTTGAATAATAGATGACGATGATAAACTAAGATTAAACTGGCACGCACGCACGAAGAATATTTATATAAACAGAGTAAATAACCAATCATAAATTAATTAATAAGAGACATCTATAGGGGAATATAAAATATTAAAACAGATAATAGAAATTTCAGAAAAAAATAATTATTAGAAAAAATAAAATTATTTTTTAGTAAATAGAAAATAGTCTTTGAAAGAAAATATTAATTTCTTTGTCTAAGCGGGATATGTGATTCATTGTTGTAACATAAAGAACAAAGAGCTAATTTATAGTAATAGTTGACACCTTTATTCAAACTGTAGGTTAATTTACAGGTAGAAAAAGAAAAGTAACAATAAGTTACAAATAAGATCATTATCCTTAGAATTCAGAGAGGACAAAAATTTATATATCAATCATTGAGATAATTTCAGTTGACATTATTTACTTAGGTGTGGATGCGTCTGCAGATTAGTGGCACTCGCACTCTTTAATGTGTCCTACCAATTAGCGTCGACAATAGAGCCCGTTGGATTTAAGATTTTCTGATCCAGATCAGTATATCTCTATAACAGTGGATCTACTATTTAATATTAATACACTGTTTATAAATAACATTATTATAAGATATCGTAATGAATGAAAAAAGCTAAACGAGTATAAATTGAGAGAAATCAAAAGGCAGAATATCAGACAAAAGATAGATCAGTTCATTAATTATTGTTTTTTTCGTTTAAGCTTGAGATATGAAAGAATAAGAAGGTTCAAATGTTTATACCAAATAAAAATTGTTTTGTTTTTTCTTAATAAATCAAAAAAATTTCATCAGTTTATGCCTTTCTTGTAGTTTTTTTTTTGAGTCTGATACTTTTTGATAGATGGGGTACATTTAGAAGACAAAGGACACTGTTCTCAAGAGAGATACCAATTAGAATATCATGATCATATCATTTATGAACACTTTATAAATAACAATTGGTAGAGTATCTTCTATAAAGTATTCCCAGATCTGTAACCAAGCTGACGAGTACTAGTAGAGAATGTTGTCAATCTTCAGAAGTGCTACCTAGTGTCACTTTACTTCTACAGATCAATAGTGTCCACATTCATAGATTTACACTGCTAATTAATGTACAGAGTGTTGTTTATTTAGAGAAGAATTGGTGTTCCGAGCGAGTAAGCAACTTCCTAAATTTCATGTTTTTCTAGTATTTTTATTGTCTTTTTTTCCGTCTACTCTATATGTATTCGAATATCTTATTTTATTTATAAAGAAACTAATTCGTTGCAAATCATCGTATGTATAAAAATTTTTAGATATTATTTCAATTCAATAGCCCAATACGAAAATTCCAACAATATGTCAAATCATATTAATGATGAAAATAATGATAGTTACAATGATTTATTTCATTCAGTTATGCCTATTGGTAGTCAATTAGATTCAGGTTATTTAACATTAACAACATCTTCATGTTTAACATCACCATCTCGTTTATCACCATCAAGTGTTATACTTAATCAAAATGATTCTCCAATATCCGAATATGATATACAATCACCAATAAATGCTCCTATAAAAAAATTTCTTACAAAAATTGATTATGAACATTATATATTAACAAGAAAACATTTTGATATATTAACACAATTATATCATCGTAATGCATATCATATAATTGATAAAATTTATGAAAATTTAGCAAATAATGATTTAAATTCTTGTTCAAATGTATGTCGAAAATGGTATTCAATATTAAAAGATTATTATCGACGTCAACAAACAAAAACTGTTAAACGTAATTTATTTCATAATTTTAATAAAACTCCAATTAAAAAAATTCAATATAAAACAAAACCAATGCAAACAATAACTAATTTACTTGATAATAAAACAACAATACCATATATAGTTGAAACAAATAATGAAGAAAATATTCTTTCATTAACACCATCACAAAATATATTTACATCATCACCTGATAATAATATTCATCTTAGTGCAAGTACAATGACATTTCGATATGGTTATTTAAAATATTTACATGGACCAACAATACCAAAACGTTGTCCAATTTGTGCTTATGTTTCAATCGTTGATGTTAATGATCAACATGGGTACGTTTTTAAATAACAATTTTCCTTTTTTTTTTTTTTTATTGAATCGATAGTTGTGGACTTGAGAAAAAGTTTAGATAAAATTCTTCTAAATATTAGCATAGAAGAATATGAATTATTATTTATTAAACAATTAAATATTATACAGAAATTTGTAATAATAGGTGCATCGAAATTTTATAGAAAAAATTTTTCTTCATTTTCAACTAATTAAGAAGATCTATAGAAAATATTAATCACTAGGTTAGAATTCGAATTTTATGCTCTTTCTAAATCTATGTTAAAAATTTTCCTAAGGAAACTTATGCATAAGAAGCATTATTGCTGTGTAGGAAATCCATGATCTAAGTGCTAACTCAAATACATTCAAGACGGAATGTCGTCAAGGAAAGAAAAGTCGAATTAAACAGAATTGACGTTTTTATGAATGTAATGAGAAAAACACTGAACAACAATAGGAAATAAATTTCTGACAAGATACGATCTCATTCTTCGTCTCAGGATCAGTAAATGAAATCGTCTTCGTTTAAATTTTATCTTCAATTCTTTCAAAGATTTGTTTTTAAATTTTTGACCTATGAGTCTTACAAATATTCTGATTCTAATAAATTGGAAATTGTTTTTCTATACAAAAGGAGTGATGAAGTATAAGGGTAGAAGTTTGTACCCTTGAGAGATTGCTGATATACAATTAAAGATCGTATATCAATAACGTCTCGTTACTACTTCCATGTTGTATTTCTATATGATTAAGTAAAATGCTGGTAAAGACATACGTCGTAAAATAATGTCCGTATGATTAGCAACTTTATCGTATTTTACATTTCAATCCAATTTGATTGTATTTTATTTTTTGTTTTAGCATTTGTACAAATCCATTATGTCGGAATAGTTTTTGTCAATGTTGTTCTGGTCCTTATCATCCATCAAGTCCATGTAAAACAACAACAGGTCCAATAAAATCTCCATGGCGTCAACGACCTGCTATTTCTCCTATATTTTCGAATAAAACACGAAATAATTTACGACGATTATTGATATGATAATAATGATAAGTTTTTTTGATTCATTTATTTATTTATTTATTTCGTAAAAATAATTTCGTTTTCTTTTTACTGTTCTCGAGTTTATTTGTTGTTGTGTCATGTGAAATACTGGTCATGTTTTAGCTTCTTCTTCGTCTCGTTTCTTTTTTCTTCTCTTACTTTCTTGATAAAAGATTATGTAAAATTAATGTCAGATATCTTTCTTTCTTTTTTTCATCGGTTGAATGTATGTGTATGTATGTATATAAATCGAACAACTATTATTTATCGAATTGTAAACCTGTGCAATAAAATGTTGTCATATGTGTGTGTGTGTGTGCATATTGTTGTCCTATTAGTTTTTTTTTGTTGTTGCTGTGCTTTTCTCTTTTTTTATATTATATATATGGTATGTAGAAAAAAAAAAACATCCTTGGTTGCCAATAAAAACAAAATCGTACATTTAAAAACAAGTTTTATTTATTCATTAAGCAATTGGTGAATTTTGATAATGTTGTATTAACCAACGATTATGTGCTTGGACGAGTTCTAATGCTTGACGTTTAACTTGCTCGTATTGTCCTTGAGTATTTTGAGAAGCAAGAGTTTCATCAAGACCAAACAATGTTTGAGAAACACTTTGTAGTTTTTTTTCAAGACCAACAAGCTAGAAAAAAAAAATAAGAAGATAAATAATTTAATAATAAAAACAAGGAGGGTTGCTGTGTGATGAAATTGACTCCATCCTAATATTGAGTTTATGGTTTCTTCAATAGATGACATTAGACTTCATTCCATATCCATGTGACTGATTTAAAACTCGAGATTATCTATCCTTTGTAGATTCGTGCTATGGAAAGTTTGTTTCTTTTCTTCGGCTTCTGAGATCAAATGAAAACGTTTTTCTTTAGATGACACTGTCGCCTCATATATACAATTTAAGTGCAGTATTGACAAACTCCTATTCAATTGATCTGTGAAAGCGCCGATCCACTTTGAGTTTAATATTGTTCGATAGGCTTTTTAAAACTCTATAAAATGATAGTATTGTGTAGAAGTTAATTTGTAAGATAGACACTTTAATCAAGTGCACAATATTCTTGAATTTTAAAAGTTACTGTTTTCGACTGATGGTTGACGAAATTTGCTAAGAATAACCAGATTTTCTATGAAAACCACTGGCAAACTTGAAATCAGCACAATAAATTGACTCTATCTGTGTAGGTTAAAAGGTCCTTCAGTAACTTAAATTTCCGTCTTGGTCTCCCTTAGGATTACATCGAAAAATAAAGTCAGTTAAAACATTGTTTTTACTTTTTATTCATCTGTCATTGTGAATTTTGTTCAGATTTTTAACAATTTAGAAGTGACTTTTTACAGGCAAACTGACGTTTTGACTTATTTAGTTTTTCGACATAACTCTGACAGGGGCCAGAGTAAAATTTTCAGACAAAGAAAAAATTTGTCGGAGGATTTTGTAATTCATACAGGTCGACTAAATCTTATATGCTGACTCCAAATATGTCATTTGTTTTGACCAAACTTCGTCAAATATCCTTTGCAAAAAGAATCTTTGGGAATTCATAAACATTGTGCACTTGATTGAAGTATCTTGTTCATTAATTCATGTGAACACAGTAGTTCCATTTTGTAGGGCTTTAAAAAGTCTATTGAATAGTATATGACTCAAAATAGACCAATGCTTTCATAGATCAATAGGAAAGGCATTTTGCCACGACTATCGTTATTTCATACATACACTCCTGAGCAAAACCCTTTTCTACTGTTGTAAGGACAAAACATGGTATTGTTCGGACCGATCAAGAGTTA